TTTGTGCGGTTTAAGTTTCAAAAAACACATTATTTTCCACATACTGTACATTATTGTTGCTCCTCTACGCCCCGCCTTTCTGAAACGCGTCGATTTTTACAAAGCTCATCGGTCGGAAAAGCGAGGTGTGCTGTGATTGGCCAGCTATCCAGTGCGTTGTGATTGGCCGAATACCTCAAGCGTGTGACGGAAATGTTAAACCCATACCATACTGTGATGCCGTGTCCCGGCGCGATGAGACAAAAACATTAAAACCCATTACAAATGAGGCATTTGTTGCATCCAGTGGGGACATAATTACGGATTATAATGACTTATACTGTCTTTTTACGCGTTGCGTTGCGTATCGCGCCGCGTAAACATAAAACCATGTCTGCATTTGTGATCGGAGAAATGACAAACAACAAAAACTACTCTACACTGCTCAAAACTCGCGTTTGAATCGTCAGTGGGAAATTCTTTAAATATGAAAACGTACTTACAGGCTGTGAGTCAGAAGCACCAGACTGTCCTTGCAAAGTTGGAATTGCCCCGCTTTATAGAAACAACCTTTGTGCAGAGCATTGTGGGCAGGGATTGAAATAAACTTTTTCACTCACCAGCCAATTTGGCTACTAAATTTTTAAGTTACCATTCATAACTTCTATTAGCCAAAAAAGAAAAAAAAATGACAGAAATACACCAACAGTTTGAAGCTGTCTACACTGGGCGTGACAAAGCGACCGTTGCAAATTATTTTGTCAGTACTAGTGGTGTGCGATATTGACAAAAAATTATATCTCAATATTTTCTGTGATTTTATCGATAAAGATAATTAGAGGATATTTTGCTGAGTGTGATATTGTGCTGATATCTTAAGGACTACCATGGACAGCTGACTCCTACAGTTTTTGATAATCTTCATATTCTGTGTGGTCAGTTCACAGCTGTGATAGAAATTAATCTTTTCCAATAAGTTTAAATTGATTTTTAACTTTTATGGGCATTCTTACCTTTATACAGCCATTTTTTTCTAAAAGTGTACATCTTTTGAGTCAAATTCTTACATTTAATCAGTCAGTTATAATAATAATACATTTAGGCTGTTACTAAACAAATTAAATCAGTATCAATAAAATTAATCTTTAGGCGGGTTTTGTTTAGCTTTTGCAATAGACTTGATAATGTCATTATGTCTCACGAGTTAAGTCTTTGCGCTAAACCTGCGCAGATTTGGCCTGCATGAACTTACCCAAGAAATTAATGAGTGAACATAATTTACGAAAAGTAACCCGCCAAATTGGCTAGTGATTTGACAGCGTTGTTAATTTCAAACCCTGATTGTGGGCTACTCTCCTAGGTTCAGAAAGCAGTCCTCCGTAAAATGCGCTGCACACATCTGAAGGTTTGAGACTTTAGTCTTTGCAATTTTAGGGATCTTATCTATGCACGAACAGCTTGTAACACTCCAAATAGAAAGGACAAATTGAAATCGCATCATATGACCCCTTTAAAGATCTCTAATCTCAAAAGTGTTTATTCCCGTCGCCAGGGTGACGGTGTGGGCGGTGGTATTTGAAATTGAATCATATGACCCCTTTAAACGACTGGATGCCAGTGGGCGTGGCCTATGGTGAGAAAATGACTATTCGTCGATGTCTTGCTCTGGAGGCAGTGTTTATGCAAATGTCTGTTCCCCCATGACGTCACCATGCCCTCTCAGGTCCGAATGAGCCATTTTTGGAGCTTGATTAAATAAATGCTTTGTTTACAGTGAGGAGGAGGTTTAAGCTATAAAGACTTCTTATATGCCAAAAGATCAAGGCAAATTTGATTTCTCATGTCATCATGACCCCTTTCAAATATCAGATAATTTGACTATTTCATGACAAAGCAAGTCTAGTTCAGGATCATTCAGAAAAACAAGCATTTCTACCTCAAACTCATTCCATTGACTGAGCTAGAATCTGACATGTAGGACGCCTTGAACACCATTCTGAAACCACCATTTTGGGAAATTGACATATGAGTGGCTTGGCACTCTGCACTTTAAACTAGCAACTATTTAATATTGAATAATGACACATTTTGTCTTTATAAACTTTTTGGTAACTGTGTATCTACAGTTGCATAAGGTGCATGGTGAGCTGGTGCGATGCAAGCTTCTGAAGGCTGTACCTTTATGCAGGTGATCAGTGAGAAGTACAGTGCATTTTGTGAATCAGGCTGTTCTTTGAAGTCCTTCACACTTAGCGTCCTTCATTACCTAGCATACACAAGGCAATTTCATTTCAAATCAGGCATAAAAATTAATATTTTGTAAAATTTTGGACACATAAAACCTTCATTCATCTTCGGAACACAAATTAAGATATTTTGGATGAAATCCGAGAACTTTCTGACCCTGCATAGACAGCAAGGGTCCTACCACGGCCAAGGCCCAGAAATGTAGTAAGGACATCGTTTAAATTGCATGTCACATCATTGGTTCAACCATAATTTTATAAAGCTACAAGAATACTTTTTGTGCACAAAGAAGACAAAAATAACAACTTCTTTCAATGATTTCTTCTCTTCCGGGTCAGTCGTGAATAGCAGCGGACTGACCCGGAAAAGAAGAAATCGTTAAATAAAGTTGTTATTCTTAAGTTTTCTTGTAGCTTCATAAAATTACATTTAAACCACTGATGTCACATGGATTATTTTAATGATTTCCTTACTACGTTTTTGTGCCTTGACCTTGGCCTAGGTAGATCCCTTCCTGTCTATGCAGGGTCAGAAAGCTCTCGGATTTCATCAAAAATACCTTAATTTACGTTCCAAAGATGAAGGAAGGTTTAGTGGGTTTGGAACGACATGAGAGTTTTCATTTTTGGGTTAACTATCCCTTAAGGTCTAATTATTTGAAAGATTATTGCCTCTTTCATAGACAGCAGTGTATATTTTATAAACTGCCAAATGTTTGCTGATAGCACTTATGTGTGTTTAAATGTAATAAAAAAACAAACAAATATTGAAAAGAGTGAACAGTTGTGAAGTGTCTGTCTCAGGCTCAGCCCCAGCTAAAGTGCAAAAGCAGATTTGAAATTAGCGGTTTAATTTAGTGACATACTGAAAATTCTAATCACACCGGTGCAATTGTACGCTTTAAAGGGTTAATTATGAAAAGTAAAAATACATATTTTTGTCTTTTAGAAGCTGCATTCAAATAGCTCAAAAATCTGAGGGGCACGTGCCTCCTTGGCCTCCGTCTGTCTGCAGGAGACGACAAAAATCGTTGTCGTAAGTTGAACTTGATCTGTCCCACAACAAGCTCCAAGACTGTCATGAGGTGAGTTAGTCAGTTAATTTGAATATCTGCAGAGACGGGGTTGCAGTAATTTAATGTGCAATGTAGTTTTAGATGATTATTATTTAGATTAGACTTACAATTGAGGAATACAATAAGAAATTCTTCATAAAGAGGCAGATAAACACAGGAAATGCTCGTAATACAAAGTTTCAGGCATAGTTCAGGGCTGCATTGCCCAAAAGCATTGTAAGGCTAAGTAGATTGTAGACCCATTGTCATCAATTTAGGCTTCCGATGCTTTTGGGAAATGCAGCCCAGTTTTGTACAAGCTAGACAGGAAGGGATTAAGGAAAAAGAAAGCAATCCAGCATTCTGGATGGGGGTGGAAAGATCATTCCACCAGCCAGGAACGGTAAACGAAAAAGTTCTGGAAAGTGATTTTGATAATACCATGAGGCATTGCTTTCTTGTAGATCTCAGACTTCTGGAGGGGATGTAGATTCTCAAGAGTGCGTGGAAGTAGGAGGGTGCTGAGCCTGTGGCTGTTCTATAGGCAAGCATCAATGTCTTGAACTTGATGTGAGCTGCAAATGGTAGCCAGTGCAGGGAGTTAAATAGAGGTGTGATGTGGGCCCTTTTGGGCTCGTTGAAGACCAGTCATGCCGCTGCATTCTGAATCATTTGTAGAAGTTTGATTTGCATGATGGAAGTCAGGCCAGAAGAGCATTGCAGTAGTCCAGCCTAGAAATGACAAGGGCCTGGACAAGAAGTTGTGCAGCATGCCCCGTTAGAAAGGGCCTGATCTTTCTGATGTTGTGCAATGCAAACCTGCAAGATCGAGAATTTTTTTGCAATGTGGGCTTTGAAAGTCAGCTGGTCATCGAAGATTACACCAAGATTTCTGACCAAACTTGATGGGGTAATTTTTGATGAAGCCAGCTAGATGGTGAAATTATGCTGTAGAGATGGAGTGGCAGGGAAGACAAGAAGCTCTGTCTTTGCCAGGTTGAGCTGTAGGTGATGATCTTTCATCCATGCTGAGATGTCTGCCAGGCAGCCTAAAATCTATGCAGCTACAGTTGGATCATCTGGTTGAAATGAAAGATTGAGCTGTGTGTCATCAGCATAGCAATGGTAGGAGAAACTATGTGCCTGTATGATGGGTCCCAGTGATGTAGTGTATATGGAGAAGAGGAGGGGTCCAAGAACTGATCCCTGAGGAACCCCAGTGACCAGTTGATGTGCTTTGGATACCTCACCTCCCCAGGCCACCCTGAAAGACCTACCAGTGAGATAGAATTCAAACCAGCGAAGTGGAATCCCTGTGATGCCCAGTGATGAGAGGGTGGACAGGAGGATCTGATGATTCACAGTGTCAAAAGCGGCAGATAGATCCAGCAGATTGAGAACTGATGATATGGAATCAGCTTTTGCAATCCGCAAGGCTTCAGTGACTGACAGTAGCGCAGTCTCAGTTGAATGTCCACTTCTGAAACCTGACTGGTTAGCATCCAGTTGGTTATTATGTGAAAGAAAATATGAAGCCTGGTTAAAAACAACTCGTTCAAGTGTTTTCGCTATGAATGGAAAGAGAGAAACAGGTCTGTATCTATCTATAAGTGAAGTGTTTAATGTGTTTTTGTGTCTGTGTGTGTGTGTCTTTTTAAGAAAAAGCCTGTCATCCTGTACCGCCACTGCTGAACAGTTAATCATGAGGTCATGTGACCAGTCAAATAAACAAAACGTGTTTGGTAAAGTTTTAGACATGGTTAGATGCTGGTAAACTGTCTTCAAATCCCTTCATGATGGCTTTTTTTCTTGTGTTACTCAAAAGAGGAATATTAATACCATGTGTTTTATTGCTTTCTGTCTATCAAGGAACTTCTCAGCCGTAAGTGTTAGAACATTTTTTATTATTTACTTATTTGTTTGTCTGTTTGTACACCTGTATTAATTTGTATGTCCTTTCATGTGTGTTTGTATGCATGCTCTTATTTCAGAGTGACTATTATAAGTTTCACACATTAAAAAGGGGGTTATTAAGTGCATGCACATTCTTTTTGCAGGATTTTCATGGTGACATTTCCAGGCGTTATAAGATCAGGCTCAGAGGCTAAACTATGTGTGAGCCTTCTAAAACCAGAAGAAAACCTGCAGCTTACTATTTCTCTGGTTAACTATAACCAGAACAGAACACTTCTACAGGAGAGAACCGAGAAGGAATTCCACCGCTGCCTTGACTTTCAGGCCTGTTATTACATTTATGTTATTCATTGAATGATCTACTGGAGTTGTTTAAAACAGCATATTCATTGTCTTAAAATAATATTTTCCTTTTTTAAAAACTGTATTTGTAAATATAGAACAAATCTGAGCATCCTATATGCATGCAACAACATGAATTTCAACAATATTTTTTTGTTTCATTTATAATAGCTAAATGGAAGAATATTGTCTATTGTGACTCTCAAAACAACATTTAAAGAATATTTTCAGGTTAAATATCTTAATATCTTAGCTATTTGCTCCCTAGAAAAGATGATACTGATTTGTGATACAACTGCATGTGTTCAACAGGCTCCTGACTCTGATTCAGTGCAAGAGATCCAAGTGGAAGCTCAAGGGAAAAACACTCAAATGATTGAAAAGAGAAAAGTCAAATTCGTATCATATAATCCACTTACAATAATTCGAACAGATAAATCAATCTACAATCCTGGTCAAACAGGTATTTTGCTTTTTATTCAGCCTCAGTGTGCTCTGATCACAGTCTGTTTACATGCACTTCACTGGCCTTGATGTTTAATGCCTTCCTCAATTTTACAGTTCAGTTCAGGATTTTCACGGTGGACCTAAATTTGAAGCCAATTGATGAAACGGTAGGTTGCAATTTTTAAGTTTTTAATTGTGGGTAAAGAGAGCATGATAATGAATGTTAAATGTTTAGCCAACCTTGTTGGTCATGTTTGCACAAATATACAGTACCTGAAATGCACTTTCAGACTTGGACCTCTGAGTAAACAGCCGTGGGTTGAAAGTCAATTATTTCTGATCAATGAGTGTTATGCAAACCAGACCTAATGTTATGCGTTTTCATCCACAGTACAAACTCGTAGCAATGCAGGTAAACTTAATTTATTGTTTTCCCCCTTTTACAGAAACATTTTTTGTGCATAAATGTTCCTGTTATTGCCATGTTGTTTGTCTTCAATGCCTTCTCATATAAACAGGACAATCGAATGAACAGAATCAATCAGTGGATTAATGCCACATCAACCCATGGCAAGATTCTGCAACTTTCCCATACGCTGAATCCAGAGGCTGCTGTTGGTTCATATGAGCTTTTTGTAGAGACTAGCAAACAGACAATTAAAGAATATTTTCAGGTTAAAGAGTATGGTGAGTATTAGCTTACATTTACATATGCTTTACAGCAATGCCATAGAAGAACAATTTTGGAAAAAACTTTTTTTTTTTTACTTTCAGTGAACAGTTCTTAAAAGAATAACAATTTAAAGGAATAGTTTACCCCAAAATGAAAATTTGCTGGAAATGTAGTCACCCACAGGCCATCCAAGATGTAGATAAGTTTGTTTCTTCAGCGCAACAGATTTGGAGAAATTTAGTATTACATAATTTTCTCTCCAATGTATCCTGCAGTGAATGGGTGCCGTCAGAATGATCAGAAAAGCATCACATGTAATGAACACAACTCAACATCTTGTAAATCAAAAAGCTGTGTGTTTGTAATAAATCTATCATAAAGACAATTTTAACTTTAAACCATTGCTTTCGGCTAAAATTTAAGTCCTATTTCCATTACAACAATATAAAGTTGTCACGTCTGAATCAGGAGAGAAATATGCAGATTAAGATAAAAGTGAAAACAAATACTGTATGTCGGTAGATTTTGATGTTAGAGGACAACAGGGGATGGACTTTGTCACTGGAGGAAGTGGATTATGGATTATGGACAGTTTAAGGTTAAAACACCTTGGATTTATTTCTTACAAACATGGAGCTTTTAGCTTTACAATATGGACTGGATTCATGTGGATTATTGTGATGTTTTTGTCCGCTGTTTAGACTGTCATTCTGATGGCACTAATTCACTGGCTTGATGGTAAGTAAATGTTCAGTAACATTTTCATTTTTGGGTGAATAATTGCTTTAATTATCTAAAGAACCTTTTGTGAAATGAAAAGTTTTCATGGATGTCAAAGGTTCTTCATGAAACGATAGATGCCAATAAAGAACCTTGATTGCATACTGAGTCAGTTTTCTTATATTTTCCTGTCTTTTTGCCTTTGCTAAAAATGGCTAATGTCACAACTGTCTTTGTGGTTCAGTTCTACCAAAATTCGATGTGAAATTACACAAACCAAAGACAGTGAGAGCGAATGAAGAGGAAGTAAAGCTGGGGGTATGTGGGAGGTGAGGTGATTTGAACATTACATTTGAACACATACGTTAGGCAGGAAGATCAGTTAACAGTATGTCTTTAACAGATACACCCATGGACATCCTGTCCAAGGTAACGTGAAGATGGGACTCTGCAAAACCATGCCAGTCGGTATTTATTATCCCTATCAGTATCATACTCCACTCTGTGTTAATAGGACAGCAGTAGTAAGTATGACTAAATGTTCATTGTTTTCTTTTTAATTTTTATGCTATTCATTATTTATATA